AGCTTTTCTCTTCCATTACTTTAGGGACCAAAGGAAACATGGAGAGTCCTTTGCAGTGATTATGTTCTTTAGGCATGGTGTTTAGGAACTTGCCCTTCCTCAGGACCTCATGGGTTCACCTGGATGAGGGCCACATTCCTGTCAAGGTGTTAGGTACTCCGGGAGTCCTGTGTGTGTCAGTGAAGGGAACATCAGGGGCATATCCTATGTGTGCTCACCACTCCATGTGTTCTATGTCCAGTTCAGTCTAGGTGGTTTTGGGATGGCCTCAGTTCATGGCCTCACAAAAGACACCCTGGTTGTTACTCAATGGCATTAGTGAGACATTAACCTTCAGTGCCTTCAACATGATGGTCTCTTAGACTCTAGGACAAACTCCAGCAGTGACGAGGGTGGCCTGACCCCCTGCTCAGAGGCCTCTGTCTACCTGGTGACTCGTCTCGGCTTTTCCCAAGGCCGTCGGTTTTACTATAGAACACAGCTGAGATCACCATCACAGTGAACAGGCCAGCACATGATTCTTCAGAAGCCACAGGCATGGGATGAAGGCACCAGGAGGGAGACAAGACAGTGCTCTGTCTGTCCAGTTCCAAGTTCTGGGTTCAGACCCAGCTTCTCCATGCCATGCTTCCATCGTCCCAGCCACAATGGGACCTCTAATCCAGCAGACACGCTCTCACGGCTTTCCTCACCCATTGGATCATTGGCTGGGTATTGTGAGATCCCATGCTGCATTTCTAAAGCTGGAAGAGTTGTCCTGGTGGTTTTAAATTTTAAGCAGAGTCTCCTCTGAAGGGAATTGAATTGTTCCCTTCCAGAGACAGAGTCTGGTATATTTTAGACAACTGGTTGACGTTATCACTTAGCCTTGCAAACAGGGCAAGCTTGGTGTCATTGAGGAGGAGAGAGGCACACATAGGCGGGATGTGACATTAGATGGTGCTTGGTGGTCCAGCTCAGACACTCTCGGGAGAGAGGAAGAGCAAGCATACACGAGGCCTGTCAGAGACGAAGAGCACACAGCCCCGATATGCAGATGGGCTGTGAATGCAGATATTTTCCTTGTTGAAAAACGGGCAAAGGGGTTGATGGGAAATTCGTAAGAGAAACACACACAGCCAGTAGGCAGACGGCAATGCTTTGAACAGGAACAGGGTGAAAATTGGGACCTGTATTCACTTATGTTGGTAGCTACTTTAAGGGGAGAGTGGGGCTGGGGAGAAGGCTCAGTGGGGTAAGAGGGCTTGCTGTGGAATCCTAAGGGCCTGAGCTGGATTCCCAGAACCCATGTGAAAGGGCTTGGCTGTGTTCCTGGAAGGGGAAGAGACCGGCGGATCACTGGAATAGGTGAGCTGCTAACAGAGGGCAAGCTCCACCACCGAGAGACCCTGTCTCAAGGGAATATGGCAGAGTGATGGAGCAAGGCACATGATGGCCATCTCTAGTGCATCTTAACATGCACGTGCATGCATGCTCACCTCCCACATACTCGTGTGCACACATACATACACGCCCCATGTACATGTGCAAAGGGGGAACCGGTATTGGCCAGGTACCCGGTTTCCACAGTCCAGGGGGGCAAACAGGGGCCATACACCCCCGAAGGGGAATTTCAGCCTGTTTGGAGATGAGCTGAGTAGATACGACCCATCTAGAACTTGTCACTGCTGCCGCAGCTTCAGAGAGTCAGGTGCTAACAGTCCGCGGACATGTGCTGGCTCCGACATTGTTCATTAAGGTGAGCAATCAGGGTTGTCCTCACGCTCTCAAGAAGGAATCTAGTCAATAAAACAGCACAGCACCGTAAAAGGTGAGGTATTGCCATCCCAGGATGAAGGATCTTTGTGCCTCTTGACCCTCAAACACTGGCAACTGGCTTGCCTTTGGACTCCCTGGAGATTGATTCCCACTGCCGTGAGGCGCCCAGCCCAGGGCTGGTCAGCACATGCCTGGGTTGCTTCCTGCCATCTTTGCTAGGCACGGGAACCAGATTCCACAGTGGCCACCCAACGTCAAGATGTTGATAAGCTCCCAGAGCCAGCTGCCCTGGAGGGAGCGGGTGCAGGCAGAGACCCTCTCAGCGGGGACGGTCTGGGCCTGGACTGTCTGTCAAGCTTCCCGCTAACCCCAGGAGGTGGAGTGCCCCTGGAGCTGCCTCAAACCCCAGGAGGTGGAGTGCCCCTGGAGCTGCCTCAAACCCCAGGAGGTGGAGTGCCCCCGCCGGAGCTGCCTCATGGGCTTGTCAGTTAAGCAGCGGTCAGACCAGCGATGTCTTAGCCTGGGAGGCTGCCTTGTTGCCCAGCTACCCTAACCCTGTCCCTACTGCTGGAACTGAGGGTGGATCCTTGAGAGAAAGGCCCAGCGTGTGAGACTCCCCTTGGGCCATTTTCCGGGGAGCACGGACTAAGCCACCTCCTCAAGAGGTTTTATTTCACCACCCCTACTTAGAGCCCCAGTCTGCCTTCCTGTTCTCCTCTCTCATAGTCTCCATGGTTGCTGTTTTCCTTACACTTTCTTTCCAGTCTTGTTTCTCCGTCCTCTAAGGGACCTCCAGAAGACAGGCTCCTTAGTTTGCTCACCGTCTCAAGGGCAGGTCCTAGAACTCAGAGGCACCTGATGAGCCTCCCTCTTCCTGAGTGAAGGAAGTCGCCACGGCCCAGGGTGCTCATGGTGGACATCACACAGGGCTGAACTGAAGGTCTAATACTATGGAGATGGAGACGTGCCTGGAATTATTGTTGCCAGAATACCCCAAAGTCATTCCAAAATTCATGTGGAATCTCAAGGGAGCCCAAGAAACAAAGATGAAGGCCTCACCCAGCACGCTTTGAAAGCATACTAGCAGGTGCAGCAGTCATTGCTCGGGGGTGGGGGGGTGGTGGAGTGGAGGGGACAAATACAGACCAAACGAAAATGACAAAGGGCCCAGAAACAGACCCTGGCACATGTGGTCACATGATCTGTGACAAAGGTGCCATGACCACTGAATGGGGACAAGAAGGTTCAACACATGGTCCCGGGGAAATGGAATGGTCATAGGCGAAAGAGGGAATGTGTACCTAATTTTAGCCTAACCTTGCATCGGAGGCTAAAATTACCGTCGCAGACATGACTCCAAACTAGACAGCTTTTAGAAAAAGAGTGTAAGGGGCCTGATTTTGGGCTTGGCAGTTAGTTCTTGGCCATGACACCAGAAGCACGGGACTAAAGAACAAGACTTGAGGAACGGGATTGCCTCCAGCGAAGGCACAGGCTCCAGTGCAGTCAGCAGGATGGAGAGGCATGCTCCTCAGTCATCTTGTTGCTGTGGCAACATGCCCGACAGAGGAGCCTGAGGAAGGAAGAAGGGCTCACCTCAGCTCACAGATGGAGGAGGTTCGGCCCACCGTGGTTGGAAGGCATAATTGTGGGAACACGACGCAGCTGCTCACACTGCATCCATGGTCAGGAAACAGAAAGTCAGTTAAGCGTCTCTGGAAACACCCTGGTAGCCACACCCAGTGGTAGGTATGCCTCCTAGGGCATTTCAAAGCCCATTCGTTGGTCAAGGAAGATTAACCAGTGAAAGGCAACCTGTGGGATGGGGAAGAGAAATCGAAAACCTAACATCTGAGGAGGGATTACTATCCTGGATATCCATTAAGAAAAACAAAAACAAAAACAAAACAAAACTCACTTCTCACAATTCAACTAGAAGAGTGAATAACTAAACAGAACAATGAGCCAAAGACTTGACACACCTCCAAAGATGGCCAGTGAGCACAGGGACAGATCCTCAGCACCAAATCCAAAGCCAGTCAGATACCGTCTCACACCGTCAGTACAGCACTGTGAAGGAAGGAAGGAAACAGATATGCAGATAGGCCATGAGGACCCTGTGCATTCCTGGTGGGCTGTCAAATGCTGCACCCACCATGGAGTGTGTGCTGGGGGACAGGGCACTGCTGAGGGCATCGAAGCCCACCGCTCATGAGAACACAGGCATTCGAGTTTTCTTTCCTTACGAGCTGTTCCTGCGTCCTGTCACCTGGGCTCTGATGCAGTGCGCTCTTTGTTGCTACCTTCTCAACCAGGTCCAGATGTTTCCTCTGACCTCGAAGTCCTGCAGGTACCAAGCTTGCTGCATAGAGTCATGCGGGATGTTTTTAAATAGTATTTTTGTGTGGGTGGTGTATGTGTGTGGGGGCTAGGTGTGAACATGTGTGAGGGCATGTGTGTGGAGGCTAGGTGTGAACATGTGTGTATGTGTGCATGTGGAGGCTAGGTGTGAACATGTGTGTGTGCATGCATGTGTGTGGAGGCTAGGTGTGAATATGTGTGAGTGCAATGAGTGGAGGCTAGGTGTGGACATGTGTGTATGCATGTGTGTGGAGGCTAGGTGTGAACATGTGTGAGTGCATTGAGTGGAGGCTAGGTGTGAACATGTGTGTATGCATGCATGTGTGTGGAGGCTAGGTGTGAATATGTGTGAGTACATGTGTGTGAAGGCTAGGTGTGAACATGTGTGAGTGTGTGCATGTGGAGGCTAGAGGCCGACCTCGGGTGTCTTCCTCATTATTTTTTTTGAAATAGGATCTCTCACTGAACCCAGAGCTCAGATTGGCTAAACTGGTGGGCCAATGAGCTAAAGGGATCCTTCTGTCTCGGCATTCCCAGAGTCCCCCAGGGCTTTTAGGAAAGGTGACATGGAAATGTGTCATAGTGGCCCCTGGCAAAGAAGAAGTACAAGCAGCCCTGTTTCCTGGAGGAACATGGCCCTGCCTGGGGCAGCAGCTTCCATCTTTACCTTGTCTCCTTCCAGCTGGAGGTGACAGTGCTTCGTATTCACGAGACCAATGCGTGCTCTCACTCCTGGGCTTCCTCTGTGGAGCCGTTTGCCTGCTCATGAGGAATGAGAGACTAACCCAGGGTCCACTGAGAACCCGGGGCACAGGGCGAGGACCCCAGTGCTACTACAGTGGTTGAATGTAGCTCTGTCCTCAGGGAAGCTGCTCTCAGCCCACTCATTTTCACCTAAATCCAAAACAGAGCTTTCAAAAACTCCTACCATCGCCATGTATCTATTTTATTTTTATTTTAGTGTGTGTGTGTGTGTGTGTGTGTGTGTGTGTGTGTGTATCTTAAAATATGCAGAAGACTACACACTGTATTATTAATGCTATTTGCTCCTGGGAAGTAGGAAGAGAGAATTTCACCTTTTTCTTGTTTAGTTTGATGTTTGGCATTTTTGGAAAGTAAGGGTATTTCTATCGTAGCTTAAAAACCGTAAAAACAATGCTCACTATTTGAACAGTGTAGGTAGTTAGGGAGACGGGTGGCAGCGGTGTTTGGAGACAAATGCACCGCTTCTCCGTTTGAGGAAAGACTGTTGCTTTCACTTCTTTGAAGACCCAAGCTGTGCCTGTGCTTCGGCTGGTGATTCTGGAGAGGAAAGGTGGGGCCCTGAAATGGGAGTTGTGCAATTCCACTGCTGGCTCCCTGGGGGAGGAGCAAGAAGTAAAGCCAACAAAGCAGGGCGAGGATGGTGGTGAGGATGGTGATGATGATGATGATGATGATGATGATGATGATGATGGTTAATACGGTGATGCTGATGGCGGTGGTGAGGATGGTGGTGAGGGTGATGGTAAAGATGGTGATGATGATGATGGTTAATACGGTGATGCTGATGGTGGTGGTGAGGATGGCGGTAGTGATGATGGTGAAGATGGTAATGATGATGGTGGTGATAATGGTAAAGATTGTGATGATGGTGGTGATAATGGTAAAGATTGTGATGATGGTGGTGATGATGATGGTTAATACGGAGATGCTGATGGCCGGTGGTGAGGATGGTGATGATAGTGATGGTGGTGGTGATGAAGAAGGTGTGGATGAATGTGACGATGACTATGGTGATGATAATGATGAAGATGATTGTGCTGTGGTGGTGGTGATGATGGTGATGAGAGTCACGGTGATGACAGTTAAGGCTGATGATGATAATGATGGTGATGACAGCAATAATGATGATGGTGATAGCGGTATGGTATGGTGGATGAACACGATGACCATGGTACTAACGATGATGGTGACATTAGCTAATATTTACTGAACTTATACTCCTACCATGCAACCACAACCTCAGGAGGTATGTCCTGTTATTGTCCTCATCTCGCAGATAATGTGAGTGAGATGCTGAGGACTCATCACTGGAGTTCACATGGCCATGGGTGGGACCCCGGCCTCAATTCTGGTCTTAAAAATGATTTCTTTGACCTCTCTTGCCTGGCATCCCTCATAGGATCTATCTGGGGTTTTCAGAAGCCTTGGGGTTGCATCTTCATCTGCAGAGAGGGAAGAAACCATTCAGGAAGAGTAAGGCAGCATGGGACACGTGGACATGTGGACACCTTTATCAGAGGGATCTGAATTCATGAGCCTGTGCCCACTCTCTGCCTAGACCACAAAGCACCAGAGATGTTCTCAGAGCCAGGCTGGCAGTGGGAAGAATCTGGCCTTCAAATAGTTACCAAGCTTGTCATCAGAATAGGAAGGGGACAGATTCTCTCCAGGTGGGCAAGGGACTCTTGGGACCACAGCATTAGAAGCGAATCAGGGCACACAGTGCTCATGGTGTGAAACATCCCAACAGGGTGCCCCACGAAGAGGATGGAGGTCAATGCAGAGTCTGGGTAGTGGCTTCCTGGGGAGCAGTGTCTAGGGCACAGGTCAGGGCTTGGGTTACAGCAGGAGGGAGTTAGAGCAGGGAATGGACTTAGGAGCTATAGGACAGACTGTGAAGGTGGCTGAGCAGCGGCTGTACACGATCTCTAAAGCTTTTGCTGATGTGATCTGGTTGTGGACCCTCAAGAGGAACCGCTGTAGGCCAAAGGCAGAAGATTTTGTCATCAAAAACTGGCTAGAGTTGGGTGAGGGGGTCAAGTGGTGGGGTGCCTCTGCCTGGGTTCTCAGCTCTCTCTGACCTCCTGAGCTGCTGGGGAGGCAAGGCCAAAAGGGATACAGGTAGATCCAGATAGGAGGATCTCCTGCTGGAGTCTGAAACCCTTTCTGGTCGCTGGTGATTTTAAAATCTGAGCCACTGAGACTAGCAAACTTTTCCCTGTTCATAAAGGGAGTCAGTTCCATTTCCAGCTCCTCAGATTCCAAATCCTGGCTGGTTTTAGCTGTAACAGCATCCATCTTTCCTTCACAGAGACAACACAGAGCCTCTTCTCCCTCACTGTGTCTGGGAACCATAGTTTGCCTCAGTGAGCATCCCACAAGACAGGGCACCTCTTCCAACCTCTTACACCTGGCCATCTTTGATAGAAATGATTTGAGATATTTCCTATTTTGCCTCCCGCCTCACAGACTTCTGGAGCATTGAATACTCTTCAGAAGAGGAAGCAGGATGGCCCTCAGGGACCTTCATCACCCGGGTGGTGTCTCCCAATTTTAGTTATTCACGGGGGGGGGGGGGGGTGTCCCTTTGGTACCACTACTAGAACCCCACCCCCACCCCCTGGGGGGGTAGAATCCAGAGGGTTTCTGGCTGGGCCCCACCCACTGCGGTCTGTTGGCTGTAATATCAGTCAGGCAACTCTCCTCCTCTTCATCCATCCTTCTCTTCCTCCCTCACTCCTTCCCTCCTTGTTGAGGCCCCTCCAGACAAATGCACTGTGCATTCCTGCCTCTCTCCACAGTCCTACAGCCTAGCAGGCTTCATGACTGCACTTCTATTTGAGGGTTGAACAGCCTTGGTGCCTCCCAGTCACACACCCACCATCTGGTGAGGTTGGACTTCAAGCTGCATTGCTCTTGGGAGCTTCACACAGCGCCAGCGGGCTCTCCAGAGGCCAGGAGTTGAAGGGCCAGGTGTGAGTAAGTAGGCTTGGCTACCTTGGGAAGTGAGGAAGGGTGTGTTCCATGCCTCTCCAGCTCAGACAGGCCCTGGTCTCCTGCGGTTTGTGAGTGCATGGCTTAGTCCTGTCCTCACAGGTGTTCTAACCGTGGGTCTGTGGTGGTTTGAATGAAAATGGCCCCCATAGTCCCAGAGGAAGTGGCACTATTAGGAGGTGCGGCCTTGTTGGAAGAAGTGTGTCACTGGGGGTGGAATTTGAGGTTTCAGAAGCTCAACCCAGTCCTAGTGCCTCTCTTCCTGCAGCCTGCCTGCCAATCCAGATGTAGAACTCTCTGCTCACTCTCCAGCACCATGTCTGCCTGCAGGCTGCATTGCTTTCCACCATGAAGAAAATTGATTAAGCCTCTGAACCTGTAGGCCAGACCCCATTAAATGCTTTCCTTTATAAGAGTTGCTGGGGTGTCTCTTCATAGCAATACAACCCGAAGACAGGTCTCCATATTCTCTCCCCATCGGTGCCCATTTGTCCCCATTTCCCTCCTTAGAAGGACATCAGTCATTTGGGATTAGGGTCACCCTAGGGATCTTGCATTAGTCATGGTTCTCTAGAGGAACAAAACTGATAGAATGAATGTGAGTTGTAAAAGGACTTTATTGGAAGCACGTCTGAGCTGTTGGAGGTTGGGACTTGAACCTCTTTTTCAGGTGTGGGGTACAATTGAACCCATAGTGCAAGGTGGGGCACAGTGAGAGCTGCAGAGACATGGTGCAGACTCCTGCCCTTAGATGGAGCGTGGAGGCAGTCATCCTGAGATAGGATGCTTTCCTGGACCTGGGAATTCCTGATGTTCCTAACTAGCAGCCAAGGACTGAGCCTAGCAGCTAGCCTATAGACCACTATCTTCTTTCACCCCACACCTGAGCGTTTGAACTAAGCTCCGCCCTCCCTGCCTCCCTGCCTCCCTTTCCTTTATTCTTTCCCATTCATAGCTTTCCTGAACACCTGTGCTGGGCAGGATCAGAGCCACTGAAACACCAGTCGTGTCTCATTTGGGAGTCTCACATCTCCAGATGTCCACACGGGGTCTCCCTGAGCCTGATGGGCTTTACCCAGCTCCTGTCCAGGAAAGAACCAATTGTGTGGATGCTGGGCTTCTAGGGCACAGCACATCTGGCACACAGTGTTCATTTAATATTTTCCTATCTTATTTCAAGACAGGGTTTCTCTGTGTAGCTCTGGCTGTCCTGGAACTTACTCTGTAGACCAGGCTGGCTTTGAACTCAGAGATCTTGCCTCTGCCTCCGAAGTGCTGGGATTAAAGGTGTGCTTGGCTCATTTTCCTAAGTGTCTTAAGTAAGAAACACAAGTTGTTATTCACTCATTCACTTTTCTAAAGGAAAATCCAGAGTATTCTTGGGATATCAGGACTCAGATCTATTTCTGGACCCTTGTCTGTCAATATAACCTCCACAGTCTGCTGCCTGTTGATGAGCCTCTCCCAACCCCAAGAGCAAACCAGAAGGCAGATGGGTTGGTAGCAGGCAACTTCCCACAGCACATTGTGGAGACTAAGTTGAGTCTTTGGTGTGATTTTGTGGTGCCCCTAAGGCTGTTGTTAGCTGCTGTGTGGTTTCATGATCACAAAGAGATCTGAAGCTCCAGGAAGACAGCAGCTGTAGCTACAGTTGTCCAACTCCATGAGGGTGGGAAAAAAGGTAGGGAGATGTGGGCCAGCCTTTTTTCATTTTACCAACATAACTGCCATAATCTAAATCTGTCAGGCAGATCCCCATGTAAGTACCCAGGGGATCTGAAGAACTTGGCAAATGAAGTCACTGAAGTCAATACCGAGCCCCTCTGGACTCAGCCTTCTCAAAAGTCTTGGAAGAAGTGGGTGGGATACTTCGGGAATCTCATACTTTGCCTTTCATGAAGTTGTAGTTCGTGGAACAACCAGTGAAATTCAGGGAGTTTTAGCCTCTAAAACACAAGTTTAGAGTGAGCTCACTCTGCTGGAGTCAGCATACACTGGGTTCCTCCCCATAAATGCTGGGTTTCCAGTCAGAGAATGTGTACACCAACATCGTGACCACTGTGGCTGCTCAGTGTCAACCTCGTCTTGAGTGCAGTGGGAATCTATGGGTGTGGGTCTGTGTTCCAATGCACGGATCCACCTTCAGTAAAGTAATAAGGCCACCAGTGCTTAAGGCCACCATCAAGGCTGAGTTAAGAATGTTGGAACTGTTTTGAAAGTAGAGTGCATTCTTTTAGCACAGGGAAGACAAGAGATGGCTTTTCTGCATAGTCACCAATCATTCCACCCTAAACCTTGCCACCAATAGCCTGCAAGATCAGATGACAGAGTGATGGACCAGCTTCATTCTGCATACCAGTCGGGGCAGGGACAGGTTCCTCTTGGCTCCATTTAGCTCCTACCACATAGGAAACATCCTCAAAGGACACTTCCCAAAGGCTGTGTCAAATCTCCAAACTGAAAAACCTTTTCCCCGTGATTCCTAACACTCTACACCAAGGTGCCATTCTCCTAAGAAAGAAAGAAAAACTCAGAAATGCAATAGCTGGTTTTGAACCTTTAATAAAAGTAAAAAAAGAATGCAAAAAGAACACAATGCTGCAAAGTTAGCATGGACGTGAACCTCGCTGGGTGTTCAGATCGGGGACAGTGAATGTGGTTGGTACTAATTACCATTTTTACAAATTCGATCACTTTGGTTCAATGTACCTGCTATAAGCTATTGGCAAAAATATCCTTCGGGTTCACATTTTTTGGCTACATTACTTCTACTAGATTTATTTCCAGTTTAAGAGAAAAAAATACTCATCATATATGATCAAGTACATCGCCAAGTTCACTTGCTCTTCTTCTAGTCACTTGTGGTTTTCGTAAGACACTTAAGTCTTAGCTGAAGAATGCCTTTGAAGGACCAACCATTCGTTTTTATTTCCAGGAAATTTTAAGGGTTGCTCCAAAGTCCAGAACAACCCATTTTCTCCTAACCAAAGTAGTTTCAGAAAACCAGTTTACTCCAGACATTTTCCTCAAAACAAAATAAGCAAAACCCCAATGAGCATCACCACGTGAGTGAACCCAAACCCAGATGTCCACACAGGCACCAAGCTCCTGTCCTGCCTAGGGCCCAACTTCTGTTTCATCGAGTCAGTTCTACAGAATTTAAAACAAACCAAAAACACTTACATTGCAGAATACAAAAAAAAAAAAAAAAGTAAATTTGTAAGTACAAATTACTAACCTCACAGAACTGGAGTATGTCAGAGGACTAGGGCGCAGTGGAGGGTGTGACTGAGGGAGTGTCACAGCTGACAGAAGTATTGCTGAGCTCACCTCCACGCAGCTCTGAAATGACCCGAGAACCCTTCTCTGGAACAGCTCACGCGGTTAAAAAAAAATAAAATAAAAATAAATATTTAAGAGAATACAAGGCTCAGATTGGTTTTCATACACATTGCACTTGAAGTCGAAGACCCAATACTTGCAAATTAGGTCCCACGTGGTCTATGCCATTCAATGCATACAGGACACCGTGTGTTTAACGCAGTGACGTGCGCACTCAACCTTTTACAAGGCAATCACAGATTGCAAGCTCCATAGGGCTGTGGAAAAGTCCTCTCCACTCTGGAGTGACAAACAATTTCGGCTCATTATGACTGAAACAGCACAGACAGCTACCCACTCTTAGATCGTCCAGCTCGTGGACAAAACTTCATTTAAATTGAGGTGAAAAGTCCAGCATCACGGTGCAGAGTCATGACTTTGCGCTGCCCTTGGCTCTCAGTAAGATTGTCTACAAATCCCT